TCACATATATGGTCCTCTTGTGAGAAATTGTTTGACTGGACTTTGGTCACACAGGCATCAATCAAACAAGCCTTCATTTGTACTATCTGTTTAGGAAAAAACATGCACATTTTTTAAAACGAAAGCCATACCAACTCTCTAAAGGATCCCATAAAGGCAATTGTCTTTTTGGGTACAACACCTTGAAAAGTTCAGTTCCTACTCAATGATCCTCGAACTACAATGGAAACAAATGGTCAGTCAACACGCACACTCCCAATGAATGCATATTCCACTATAAAGTTATCATTTTTATAAGCTCTCTAGGCCTTTAAAAACCACAAAACCCAATATATCACCTCAGTGCATATTCCACTATAAAGTTATAATTTTTATAAGCTCTCTAAGGCTTTAAGGGCCACAAAACCCAACATATCACCTCACCGCACTAAGTGAACCAGTATAGTATGCATCCCATAAATTACTGGGACCGGGAGCGAGGGTAGCTCCCTGATCAGAAGCAGGACTGTGAGATAGAGGGAGGCTCGAAGATCCATAGACAAGGGATCGAGATCCTTACATCATGAGGTAAAGGGATTGAGTTAGAGTGTGATCTGAATTGGCCCAGGAGCGAATGCTAAACAATATGAGAGCATGATCCATCAAACTCATGATCAAGCCTCCCTCAAGCTTAGGATCCTAGAGTTCACATAACTTCAATACTCTACTTTGGGAATGAATTCCATTGAACAATATGATTAATTTTCCTGAATTACAAAACCAAATTATCATTAAATACAAGAATCTTGTCTTTAAAATTCTCTTTGACTTTTTCTAGTCATTGGAGTATTTTTCATACGCGAGAAGTGGAACTAAAAATCCAATATGAGGATGCAATCTCAGGTCCTCAGGTACAGAAGAATCCTAGTGTCCTTTAAATTCCTTGATGGGGAACATTGTGACAAGAATAAACTTTCTTATCTCCCCTAGTTTAAAAATTAAAAAAAAAAACTTTCTTATCTCCCCTACTAGAGGTGATCTGAAACCGGTGAAATGCCAAGAAGCAGGAATAAAGAGGAAGCATTTCACAAAGACATCATGCCCTTTCAATGCAATGAAGGAACCTTTTTTAAGCTATCAAATTCATAGAATATGCATATTGTGTGAGGTGTAGTACACACCTGTAGTCATCAATTGGATGTTATAAAGTTAGACATTTGAGATGAATCATGTTCTTGGATGAATGTAGGTCCTTGGAACTCAGCTATTATTCGAACATCCTTGAGGATGGACGGTCAATTCTGGGTTAGTGATACTCACATGCACGCACCAGATGCAGGTTGTATATGATACTATAATTGGGGTTTCCCATTTCATTGACATTTTTACTCTGTTCATTAGCCCACACAATCTGAAATCTCGTTTCCCATTACTCATGGAACCATGATTTTAGAAATAGGGATCTGGATCCCATTAACTTGGGATCACGATCCTCAATTTTACAAATCAAGATCCCTACATTAAAAAAACGTCTGGAATTGAGATCCAATGTCTTGGAGCATCGGATCGAGCTTTCGTATCCCCCCAAGTCGTCGATTGCCTTTTATGCAGCTGTCATCCTCGATGATTATCTCATACTCAGGTGTCTTATTCTAGTAACTCACGTGTTACAGAGTTGCATTTTCATGCGTTGCTAGTATCTCTGGGAGTTATATTGTCATGTGATTTTTGTGGAATGTTTCTTGATCAGGAGCCCTCTCTTCTCTCCCTGCCCAACCTCTTATATCACCTTCAACACATTTTTCCAATGGTATCATCACTGTTACATCTGTGACTCTATTGTTCCCATCCTAGTGTCTCACACTGATACATGCATTAATGTGTGATCATATGTATGGAGCAATAACTAACCTCCAGAAATGAACTATGCATATACCTTTAAAATTTTTTTTTTTAAAGAATGCATATGAACATTTCTAGAAAGGACACACTTATAATTTATTCAATGATATTTGGTATGTGAATTAATCTGTGAATTGATTGCATTAGAGAAATATTTGGTATGTGAACTAATCTGAGTGGATAAGTGTTGTCCCTTGTAAAGTTGGGCATGCTTCATTCGTAGGAATAATGCTAGCATGACCACCTAAATAAGTTCCAACAAAACTTTCCTGAAATTCGTGCAATACAAAACAAAAGATTTAGCATTCATGTCTTTTGCCAAAAATCAGCATTGAAAAATTTAGATGCAAAAGAAATAATTTTAAATCATTAAACAAATAATTTTGGATTATGTAGTCCAATAATTGAACTTCAGCACAAATGTTAGGGTTTGAAACCCAATAATTCATAGGACTTTTTGATTGATCATTCTTAGGACTTCATCTCAAAATTCAAAGGCATCAGACATTCATAAAAATTGTACACAAAGCTTCCATAGGAGAAGGAATTGGGCTTGGGCTTAAGTGGTTACTAGCTGATGTTTCGCAGCGCTACTTGGGCTTGGGCTTAAGTGGTTACTAGCTGATGTTTCGCAGCGCTACATCTCAAGTTCCATTCCTACCACTGAACAACCCCCCCCCCCCAAAAAAAAAAAATGTTTTCATTGGAAAAACCCACATTTATTTTATTGTTTTTCTTTAATATCAAATCAAAAAGAAAATCTAGATTAAATCTTAATTAAATTCATTAGAGGTTCACGAAGATATGAGAGAGTTGGTGGGTAGGGTGCCATCCAATAATGAAAATGCATAGCAATTGGAAAATTGATAACAACAAACAATAACACCCAGCAAGAAAACATGTATTCACCTCCTGAAGTATCGTGGATGATCTCATTCTTATGATCACATTAGTGGAAAGTTCATGTCTCAGGGACTGAAATGCTCTATATTTTGTTGATTATCAGGATGGGTTTGAATATCCAAATAAAAAGATAACCAGAGTTTGAAACTGAGCCCTTTGCTGTTGTGTTTCTTGAATGTTTGGAGAAACTGAGGAGTAAAATATGACTATAAAAAAAAAGCATACTGAGGGACAATGGAAGCCCTGGTAATGGCCCTTCAAGTTGCATGGATAGGTGGATGAGCCGCCTCTTCCGCCAACTTTGGAAGCCGCAGCTTCCATGGGGTAGCTGTACCTTCAAAATTTCAATGTGTTTTTACACTGTCTTGGATGCTGCGCTGTGGCTTCGAGTAATCAAACATGCCCTAATTGTGTTGCAAGTTTGCAGTGGTAGACTTACCCATCCTGACTGAGCCACTGAGTCCTATATTCAAGCAAACTTTATTAATACAAATCTGACAGTCAAATCGTCTCAAACATGACCCCAGAAAGGAGATAACATGGTCTCAATCATAGTGATTCTCCCAAAAAAAGGAAGTCATTCCATCCTCATGTATATACAGTTTGCGCCAGTGTTACCTGGTACACTTTATATTCTCCTTGGTATAGTGTGCCGACACTGTGACACATGTTGACATGCAAAGACACGCCATTGATACTTGTCCATATGTGTTTGATGATTTCAGCAGTTTTTTCAGTACATACTGACACATTAAATTGAGGTGTCAAGATATATTCCAACATATATGCACAAGGGTCCAAGTGGTATAGTTGACGTCAAACACACATGGGGAGGAGAGTGGTTCGATTCCTGCCAGTGCACCTTATCTTATTAATATGTTTTTTCTTTAAATTAAAACAAAGCTTTTGTCATTGGGAAATCCTTACCCTAGAACTGACCAAAAGCAGGTCTTGAACCCATGACCTTCTAGGTGCGAAGCAGTGCTACCGCAATGACTTCTCAGCTGCTCTTGCACAAGATTGGCGTGTTTTGAAATAGAAATGCTACTTAAATGAAGCGGAGATTAAAAAACTCATCCGTTGGGGCTCGAACACAGGACATCCTAAGTGGGGTTGTTCACAAAAGGTCTTCACCACTACCACTATGCCATTGTATTTTAGACATAAACTTGACAAAATTTATATAATTTACATACTTAAGATATTAGTTGCATGTATGTGTCTTAAAGTACTGGAATTTTAGCCACTTGTACTGACGCTTTGACATGTACTAGATACAGATACTCATGTCAGTGTCCATGTAACACTGGTTTGTGCTCTTCAGAATGGACTTTTAAATGCTTCCTAGAGCTGAACACATGAAGGCAACCCATATAGGTACATCATCCATAGACTTGAGTGGATTGCTCGCAAGCTCCTGCAACTCACATCATTTGCCTAGTTTCAATACTACTTGATTTTCTCAAGATTAGCTCTCTTACAAATGCTGCCTCTAAACATCTTAGAACAAGTTTTACACATTTAGGCTGCTTCAATGGTGCTCCCTCAAGGATCATATCACCAACTAAGGATTAGTATGGAAACCTTTTCCTGTTCACTGACTAACACCTTCAACAGTTCCAGCTAAATGTGTTTCACTTCTACTCATCAATCTACTTTGGATCTCCCTAACCTAAATTTTCACATTCAAATATTGACCTGACCTTTTTCTGAGAAGTTGAAGTTTAGTATTATGTATAGAGGTAAACTGTACGAAGATACAAAATCTGGATGCTTACATGCTGCAAGCTTAGAGATAAAAGAGAACAAAAAATGTACATCCAAAAGTCAGGGTGAAGAACCCCAAGGAGGGATATCAGCCCTCAAGCCCTAAGATGTTAATGAACACCTGACCTTTGACTTGCCATAATATTCCAACTTTGACCTTCCTTGACATATTTCCAGCACCAGCCACCTTTGATATAACATTCCTACAAGGTTTTGAGTTTATTCCATAAAAACATTGTTTCACCATTATGTTTTGATTTTATTTATTTTATTTTTTCAATTGGTAAGGGTTTTTATCACATTGAGGAAGGCGAAAAGAAAGAAGCATAATTTTGGTGTAGCATGCATGTTAGTGGAATTGGTAAATCATGGAATGTCCATAGTGCGGCATATTGAAATTTTTTCCTTATTCAGCACTGAATTTGATATTTTTAATATCCATTGTGCAGGTCGGTTAGTTTTTCTGGGCAAAGAAACTGATGCTGCAGAATCAAGCCAAGCAGATTTAAGAGGCGTCGGTTATTTCTAACATTGATTGGGCGACAATATTACATACTATAGGGTCCACATGGGAGACAATTAGACAGGTGATATGAACTGACTTACCCACCGGGTGTGCCCCAGTCAACATCTTTCAAAGACATTTCTGATTAAGGAAATGTGTGGATTGGGATAATATTGATTGCATTGTATTAACCCTTGTACTGATTTTTTTCCACAATAAACCAGTAAATTCTCAAAAGACTTGGTTGCCCTTATAAAATAATAAGGTTTTGCAACAACTTAAACTAGATTCTGCATATTTTAGTTTTGTTTCAATTCACTATTTTCTCTCTTTGAGATGGTTGGTGATTTATACCGGGAGCCTTTATTTGATACCTTTTTACTACTACCTCGAATATTCCATGCATGTATCACTAAGCAAATTATACTGCTAAGCAATGGTATTTGTATATTTGCACAAAATTACTGAATAATTTGATATTGGTTGGATATCGTGGCATTGTTTCTGGTAAACCTGCCATGGTATGTGGTCTCATGAGTGACAGTCCCAAGTGCACCAGGCAGTCAACCATATTAAAATGGATGGTCTTATATCCAAGGCACACATGCATCCTATTTATCTTCTTTGCAATTCCTTCGAAGGTTTATCTGCTTTATGCATTAAGATGTACAGTATCTATTGGACTTGCTGACCTTAAGATTTGTTTTGGTCTTAGCAGGGATTGATACTGGCCATGATGCTACGAAGTTAAGTTGTTCAATTCTACCAATCAAATTGTGATCATATACTGAATTGTGAACAGTTGAGAGATTCTTGTATGCCTTTTTCCTAGTGAATGTAGTGGATTTTATATTCTTGTAAAAGGATAAAAAGTTTTGAAGTTTTATTTCTCTTCAATCAAATTGTCATGGACATGCCTCGAAGTGTTAAAACAATCAGTAGAATCTTATATGTGTTTTTCCTGGTGATCCTTGATATTTCTATAAGTAGTGAACAGTATGAAGCTTTATCTTTCTTGCATGAAGCATCAGTTACTGGTGTAACTCACAGTTAAGCTTTTTGGCTGAGGTACATTGGTATTTGGATACATAAATTAAGGCTGCAAGTGGGGCGTGGCCAGCCTGACGAGCTGAGTAGGACCAAGCTACCATGTTCTGAATTGGGCCACACAATGGACATGACAAATGAACCGAGCTTAACTTTAGGGCTCAAAAAGCATGGGCTAGCCTTTGATTGAGGCTGTCATGACCAGGCAAATAGATGTTTTGGATGGTTAGTCCACTTGGGTTTTATTGTTTGAGTTTTCTCTTATCTTGCTTTTCGACTGCAAGATCATCATCATCATCAAAGCCTATTCCCGACTAATTGGGGTCAGCTATATTAATATTGGTTCGTTAATTTTTGTTTTGGGTGAGATAGTGGGGAGAGGGGCCCTACCCTTGTTAGGAATTGAGCCTAGGACATAGTATTGTGAATCGTCAAGCGTTAGCCAATTAAGACCGGGTTCTTTCCTAAAATGTGGTAAAATCAGTAGAGAGTTGAGCCCTTGCCTTTTAGTGAGAATGGAGTCGGAGATCTCACCATGGGGCTTGGCAATACTATCGTAAAAGCTTCAAGGCATTCTCAAAGTGGTAAGTCAGTGGGGATTTGAGTCCCTATTCTTTAGTGAGAATGGAAGGCCCTTTAGTGAGAATGGAGTCGAAGATCTCACCATGGGGCTTGGCAATACTATTGTAAAAGCTTCAAGGCATTATCAAAGTGGTAAGTCAGTGGGGATTTGAGCCCCTACTCTTTAGTGAGAATGGAGTGTTATTATGGGGTTTGGTAATATTACCGCCAATGCCCCAAGCTATTATTACCTGGTTTGTTATTTTGCTCTATTAATGGTCATCCTCTGTGAGGCCATAAGTTTCTTTTCGTACTATTTTCAATCATGTTCTTTTGGGCTTATGTTTTTTGCTTTGTTTTAACTTTTAATTCGCACCTCAAAGTGATGGTTAATAGGTTAATAACAATCGGTCAGCATGGTAAACTACTTGTTTAGTTTCAAACATGATGTATCAGCTCCATCGTTTGATGTCAGCAGTGGACTGTTGAGGATTGTCATTCATATGCTCAAAGTCCATAAATTTGAAATGGTATGCTTTGATAATGATAAAATATTTGCTTGTGAGAACAGAAGGTATTTACTAGTCAAAAACCTACCTAGGAGTATTTTTAGGAATTCGAAGTGTGGGGATCTACTCATCTTGGTCTCGAACCCCAAAAAGTTTAATACACACTCGAAAACTGCCTAAAAGGATCATATCATCAAGATAAACGCACGGTCTTTGTTTTGGATGGTTAGGTCTATAGGGCCAGGATATCGGGAAATATAGTCTTTTGGATGGTTAGGTCTAAGGGGCCAGGATACCTGGAAATATAGTATGTTAAATATATTAATGGTGTAATATATTACTTGCAAATGGATTGTTACTGTTTGGGTTGTATTTAGATGTAATTTGGGAAATACATGGCTACTGTTTGCCTATATCCCAAGAAATATGAGAAATGTATTTTCAATATTTTACCAGCACTTGTTTATAAATTATCATTTCTTTCTTTTTATTGTCACAAAATTCTACTGACATGCGAAATTAAATTCATCATCACATCATTCCATAAAGATTTTCTAATAGTAATATCATCACCATTTCAAAAAGATTTTCTAATAATAACATGTATCATTCTAAGGTCATCAACACACAATTTTTCACTTATTTTGCATGCTTTGACACTTACATGAAATCACATGTATTTTAACATGATATTCATTGGAATAATATGATTGGAATAATATGATTTTATTGTGATAAACTTTATTTTTATTGATTTATTATAGAAGTCTTTCAAATGTCTACCTATATAATTTTAAATAAGTAATAAATTTATGATACCAAATTAAAAAATCTGTATGGTACAAGTTAATAAATGGGAAGAAGTTTGATTAATAAATAGAAGGTTTGGTAATTGCAGTTGAAACTTTTGAGGTATTAGAGGAAATGAAAGAGGTATCTTATTTCAATTGAGCTTTTACTGATATCTTATGAAGATTATGCTGGGTGAAATTTTTTATTATAATTATGTTTTGTAATTTCTTATGTTGGGTGAAATTTTTTATTAAAATTGTGCTGCGTATTTTTTTTATAATTGTATTGTGTAATTTCTCATTGATTAGATATGTTAAATAGAATGGATATACTAAAGAGAGAAGGTGTTTTTTTTATAATTATGTCGTGTAATTTCTCATTGATTAGATATGCTAAGGAGAATGGATATACTAAGGAGAGAGAGTAAGGGGGCTTAAAAATAATTTCTCACAAGGGGTTCAAAAATAATTTCTCATTCATTAGATATGCTAAAAGAATGGATATGCTAAGGAGAGAGGGAGAATAGAAAAAGTCCATATCAAAGAGTAAGTGGCTTAAAAAAAGAAAAAGTACAAATAAGAATAAGGGGCTGAGATAGAGGCTTAAAATAAAAAAAAAAAAGTACTTATGAGAATAAGAGGCTTAAAGATAAATGAGATTTAAAAAAAAGAAAGAAAAAGTACAGATGAGAAGAATGAGCTTAAAGAGAGAGGACCACCTTATACAAACCCATTATTAGGTCCAAGAGTGAGGGGATGGGTTGAGAGGGTTTATTATGGTTCAAAAGTGACGGAACGGGTTGAGAGAGGCTTAAAGAGATAAGGACTTGTAAAACCAGTTGTTAAGGTTCAAGAGAGAGGGAACGTAGGGAGGGAGGGTGCAAAAATAAGCGGATTGGCATTTTATTAAGGTAAGATAGGAGAGACGTACGTAAAAGATTTATAAAGATTACCCGGATAATAGATTTTTCACCGTAATGTGTTTCATGATTATTGGGAAATCTCAGGTAACCTCTTTTTATTTCTTTATTATAAAATATACCAAAACGGTCGAAATATCATATTTCCTCTCAATAAATTGTCATGTAATAAATTTCGAAGCATCCAAAGAAGCATCCAAAGGGCGCCTAAGTTTTTAATAAAATGTTGCAGTTTGTATAGAGCTGAGGCTCTAAACAATCAAAGTAAAGCATACCTTCAAATAGTATTTAGAAATATGGTTTCAATACTGAAAATCTTTGTGATAGCCTTAAAATATATTTTCAACTTTAATTTTAAAATTTAAAACTTAAAAATAGTGTAAATCGAACACATCTATAAAAATCTTGAAAATTGACGGTCTAAGAGTGCATTACAAAATGCACTATTCCAAAACTTGAAATCTATTTTTTTTCATGTCCATGCATGTTGATGTTCGAGATGATCAATTTTGAAGATATTTAAGCATCAAAACAATCTCTTTTAGAGAAATTTTTGAGATGGGCTCTAATTTGATTGTTTAGAGCCTAGGCTCTATATAAACTTCTTCCTTAATAAAAGAAACTTTTCTTTGGAACTGGAATCAAACAAAAAGTCCCAAATGTGCCTTAGAGTGAATACGATGGGGTTCTCAAAAATAATTATGGCATTTTCGAAGCGTCTAAGTTGTTAGACATCCAATCGCGTAATGTGATTCCTACCCACTAATTAAATGTAGTTCCCAACCCCACATTACTTGATTGGGCAATCCATTGGAATGGACAGTTCAGATCTGTCGACGCTCTTATAAACTGCATTTTCTTTCTCGGAAATTGAAAGGTAGGAATTGAACTTACTGGTGAACAAACAGTCAAGCCAAAGCCTGATCCCTAAAACAATGCAGTAGAAATCGGGCTTCGGTTTGAGTGGTTAGTAGTCGGCGTCAAGCAATACTATATCTGATTCCTACCTTTGGACTACCAAAAAAAAAAAATTTCATAAAGAAAAAAGAAATGCTAAATGGGCACCTTTTGTGATAATGTAAAGAAATTGCTCGTAGCTTGTTTTTAATTAGCAACCTTTAGGAAAATTCTTTATGGGTCATTAAACATTGGTTATTAACGTAGGTTGCTTTTTTAACATGTACACGAACAAAACAAGGCGCTCCTTACTGGTTCTTGCTCACCCTTTGTGAGTGTGTTGAAATAGTTAGGAAAAGGAGGTCACAATCACTTCTACCACTTGGATGTAAATTTGGATGTACTGGGTTGTCTCATTAAGTACGAGAATTTTTTTTTTTTTTGAACCTCGATTCTAGTTAATGACATGCTTAAAACTATCTAATTTAAAATTTGACGAACAAGCTCTCTTTGTGCTAAAATAAATGGTCTCTTTGTATACTTTTATTTAAGGGCCCGTTTGATTCTTTGAATTTTTCAGTATGTGGAAAAGTGTATCATAGAATTAGTATTTATTGGAATTAGTATTTCTTGGAATATGGTGTATGCTATTTAGATTTCATCGGGTAAAAATCGGAAAAATGCAAATTTACTGTTTGGATTGCTTGAAATATCTTTTTTTTGGAAATACAAATACAATCTCGTTCTTCTCTCTCTATTTTCTCTCTCTCTTTTCTCTTTCTCTCTCTATTGTTTCCTCCTTGTAACATTAAAAAATGGGTCTTCTTCCCTTTTCAAACGCCAAACTTTTCTCTCTCTCTCTCCAACTAGCATAGCATCCAAAAAAATTTGCAAATGACTATCAACTCTTGAAACACATCCCTTCTGCGAGAAATCTCCACTCAAGCAAGAGAGAAACAAGTACCCATCCAAAGAAAAAAATGGAAACAAGTGATGCAAGACAAGTTTCCCACTAGAAAGGAGAGTTTTAGAGAGAGAAAATAGTGCAGGAACAAGAAAACACAATTTCAAGTCGTTACAATATATTTCCCTTTAGCAAAGAGAGAGAGAAAATTGTTAGGGCCAGTTTGGATAGGAGGAAATCAGGGATTTTGGATATTTGAAATCCAAGAGAATCTATGGATTTCCAAATATCAAGGATTCATGTCATGGATTCTTCAAATCTCTTGTTTGGATA